AGGTAAGATGCCAACCAGAAAGGCTGCATATGACATGACTCCTTTAGTAGGACATTTTGGAGAAGACACCAGAGAGAGAACAGATGTGGGATTGCCAGGGCCTGGGGAGCAGCAGGGAGTTGGCTATAAAAAGCCAGTGCAAGGGAATTTTGGGGGTGATGGAACTATTTTATATGGTGATAGGTATATGACTATGCATTTTTCAAAATCATAGAACTACATCCTACAAAGACTAAGTTACTGTGTGTAAAATGGATGAATGGCGGACGCATTGCATGCATGCCTAGATGATGGATGGATGCATGGGTGGATGGGTGAATGGATGGATGCATGAGTAGATGCATGGGTGGACCTGTGTGGATGCCTGGATAGATTGCATGGATACATGCCAGTGCACTATTTGTCTTGAGAGCACAGTTCTTGCCATGAACCCTAATTCCAAGGAATCAGACGTTGGCCCTGAGAGGCATTCCTATTGTGGGTAAAACCTCAGTACCCAAGGGGCCTGGCATTGGTTGAGCCCTTAACTCAGCTACTTCTCTCACCATTCCAAACTGGCTGCATGACTATAGGTGAATCCTTTAGCCACTCAGAGCCTCTCCTTCTGCTACAAAATGGGAAGCATGAGCTGCTCAGGATTTCCTGGAGACTCAAGAGCTTTGAACAGTTAGTACTGCAACTTGATGTGGACACCACCATCTTCGTGGGCTTGCTATGTGGCATCAGCCTCCCCTAAGTCAGTCACTGCTGGTTTGGGTCACTCTTCTCCATTATGGCAAGCTTGTCCATCATATGTTTATCTGTGCATCCACCCCAGGCCAGACAGGCAGACACGATGTAAGTACACATCCACCTCCCCTAGTGCCTGTGTAGAATGCTTATGAAACATATATTGACATTTATCCTTTTGATATTTTCCAACCCACTGCTTCCTAAACACCTTTGGTGCCCTCTGAATGTCAGGTCACTCTCTGAGATGAAGGTTCCCTGCCCAAGATGCTCTGGATACACAGAATTTCATTTGATGGTCCCCAGACAGCCCATTGTCTATAGATTGGGTACCTTGGAATAAATTCATTCATTTTGAGAACTGGCACCAGTGTAAGCAAAACTATAATGTCTCTAAGGGAAACATAATTCAGAACATCATCTCTGTGCCTTTTTGTATATTAACAAAACCACAAATGCCACTGGCCATGATGTCATACGCCTGTTATCCCAGCATTCTGAGAAGCTGGGGCAAGAAGAACACAAGTTTGAGCCTAGCTGGGGTAATTTAATGAGACTGTCTCAGAATAAAAAATGATAGGGGAATAGCTCACTGTGGAGGTCTTGGGTTTAATCCCCAGTACCACTCCCACGCACACACACAAAAAACTCAAGTGTGCCTTGAGCACGATATTTTTAGGGTGTGAGGGGATTAGAGATGCTTTGACCTCGGGGCCTTTAAAGGTTTTCCTCTGATATTCAGGAGGGCAGATGGCCGAGAAGACCTCCCTTCGGCACCCCCGGCCCTGCACATATACAAGGCATCCAATTGGAGTGTGGCAGACGCTAGCGTGTAAGGACTCCTGGGCATGTCCAGAACTGAGAGTGATGTCCCTCTGGGTACCGGGTCCAAAGGCAAGAATCTTAAAGAGGGGTGTCCTTCCTTTGCTCCCCCCCAAATCTGTGGGTTTGTAGGATCATCTCTGCTTCCCTGATCTTAGCTCCACCTGCAGGCAAATCTGTCCCTGCCCTACACCCCAGCCCTGGATTTCTGCAGCTTAAAAGCTTATGCATGACCTCGAAAGCCATGTGTGTGCCCTGCTCATCCTTCCCTCCTCCCCGGTGGGGATTTGGGCAGCAGAGATGCAAACATCACGCCCTTGAGCATAGCCTAGGGCGCCCGATCTCAGCAAGCAGTGGGAGGAAAGCCGAGGTCTCCTTGGGGACATGCAGTGACACTGTTCCCGCTTGTGGCCTGGGTAATCCATTGCTCTCTCTTGTTCCCTGTATCTTGCTTCCTTTTCCTCTCGAACCCACTTTTATTTTCTCTCCTGCTTTCTCACACCATGTCCTCCAAAGCTGTGGGGACAGGATACGCTTACAAATTGACAGTTCTCTGGCTTAGCTCGCTTAATCCTTACAGCACCAGGGTCTGCCGTGATCCCCATTTCTAAGTGAGCGAATATTCCTGAGCTGTTAGAAACACGCCAGAGTCACAGAGGTCAAAGGGGCAGAGGCACCCCCGAAACCTCCGTCCATCTGCCTCTGTGCTGGACATATGGCCTATCTGCACTTCTAAGTTGCTGTTGTCGGTGGCAAGGGTGGAGGAACAGGCTCCCCTGCCCCAAAGCCTGGCCACTTTTTGGAGGATCTTATCTTAAAAAGGTGGATGAGCTGGTCTCAGTACCAGTCAACAACTCGGGAGGCCAAGTGGCCCTCTGCCTTCTGCAGCCTTTGACGTCCATGCCAGGACATGCCACCCACAATGAGGATATTTGTGTCATCACACTGCATTTTTGCCACTGAAGAGGCTGAGAGCCAGAGAGATGAAGTGACTCAGCCAGACAAGCACGTGGGTAGTTGAGCCGGGAATCCAGTCCACAGTGCAGCGTGATTTACGGTTCCAGTTTGTGTGACCGGGTGCTCCAACCTGCTCATTTCCCTCTCTGAGCCTCGCTCGAAAGCAGACACATGTATGGCTACAGCTCCTGCCTTGTGGGTTCAGAATGTGCTAGGAATATGAGTGGACACCAGGAGTGGGGTGTCATAAGCTAGGAGCTCTGCTGGTCACCTGCAGTCTTTCCTGGTAGAATCAACACCACGGACGGTGTTTGCTGTCCTCCGTGGCCGCCTGGCGTGCACTCGAGGGTACAGAGCAAGGCAGCAGGGCTGACAGAGTCCGTTCCTACCCAAGGACGAAGCCATTTATAACACACACCCGTGGCCTGCTGCAGGCTGGATGATACACCCTCAGCAGCAGAGAGGCAGCACAACTCGATTCTTATGCTAAAGAATTTGTAGGATTGGATAAATCACCAGCCCTCACAACACTGGTTTGGAAACCAGGAAATGTCTCAAATTCTCACAGCAGAAACATCTATTGATCTGCGCTGAATGTCCCAGACACAGTCCATCTCTCCTGGAAACAAGATCCTGGGCACAGGAGTGCCAGGTCTCTCCTTTTATAATTCCTGGTCTGCGTGCACACGGATCTGGAAGCAAAGCATGCCCTTGAACTGGCAGCAGCAATTCTGTTTTTTCATTAAATTTTTTTTTGTTGTTGTTGTTTGGTTTTTGAGACAGGTCTTGCTATATAGTCCCAGCTGGCCTTGAACACAGTATGTGGCCCAGGCCAACCTGTCACAGTCATCTGCCTCAGCCTCCCGAGTATTGAAATTACAGGCATGTGCCACCACCTCTGGCCTCATGAAATACATCTTGTTTCAAAGTGGGAGCCTTTTCTGGATGCCTGGGAGCTGCTGCTTTTTGTTTCTTTTTGCAAAACTGATGTTAAAAAATATAATAATTCCGTAAAACAGAGACACCATCATTTTCAGAGCTTAGCATCAAAGTATATTTACAGAGAAAGGATTTCTGCCCTGGACACTTACTTAACAGGCCTTTGTCAAATGCCTACCACGAACCTTGTGGCATTCCAGGCATGAGATGGTTGTCAAGGGTAAGAGCATTCTAATAGGATGAGATGATGTAGATTGTCACTTTTATTAGTATTTTACCATTAGGAATTCAATTGATTAAGGTTTATTGAGAACTTACTGTGTTCCAGGCCTTGTGTAGGCACTGAGGATGCAGTGGTGAACCGGGCAGCATGAACCCCTGCCTTCCAGAAGCTTCCAGTGTGTCCTGATGTGATGCGGACCAGTAGGGGTCTGGGAATGTCTTCCTGGGCACTGTAGAAATGGCATGCATTTGTGCAGTGTTTCTCCATCGTTCATCTCAGGAAGTAGGGCACGTGAGGAGGAAGACCCAGTCTGGGGCTACCCAGGAGCATTCTGGGGCAGACAAGTTGCTCAGAGCTGCAAGGAGCTAGAGAGTTGGTCCTCAAGCCCTTCATGTTTGATTGGTGGCCACCTTCTGGCCACTATGAATAATGTAGCTAGCTGTGAGCGTTTGTGCACAGCTTTTTGTGTGGATATGTGTTTTCCCAGGGTACTGTTTAGGAAGTGGGATTTCTGGGTCCTGTGATAACTCCCCTACTTACTGATGAACCCCCAAAGCTGTCCCATTTCTCATGCCCACCATCAGTGGGTGAGAATTTCATTGTCTACACTTGTTATACTCTGTCTTTGGAACTGTAGCCATCCTAGTGGGTGTGAAATATTTTATTGTAAGTCTCCAACTTACAAACATCTGAGTTGCCAATTTTCACGAGTGTATTGTGTAAGATTCATGTTGTTATGTTAACCCATAAATCCAATTTATTCACATGTTCCCAGAATATCAAAAACCTGATCAACACGAAGGTACTAGACTTTCTGTGTATAATCCAGTAAGTCCCCAGTTTACAAACATTCGAGTTGCGAACTTTAACAGGCATGAATGAATTTCAAATTATGAACTTTTGTAGATGCAAATAAGTTGCAGAAGTAGCTCACATGACTGCTGGGCATTGTCATGTTGCACTGGTGTATGTGCTTCAAAGTAAAAAGAGTTTACTTACAGATTTGTGTATGTGTGTGTGTTTTCTGTGCTTTATGCTGTTCATTTGTGTCAAAGGTGAATAAGACTCATTTCGTCAGACTTACAATAGAATCTGACTTACAGATGTTATGGAGCTGAACTCTTCTGTAAGTGACAGAAGTTACTCTGTCTAGTGACATTTTCCGAGCAGCCCTGGTCCACCCTGAGAAACAGCTGCCCCTTTTGCTGCTCATCTGAGGCTGGTGGGCTCTTTCATTCCTCAGTGGACCCCCAGAGGACCCCCAGAGGACTCCCAGAGGACTCCCAGGACCTTGATGCCTAACACTCTGCCGTCTCTTCTTGTCTTCCAGCGATTCACGAGTTCCCCACGGACCTGTTCTCCAACAAGGAGCGACAACATGGAGCTGTCCTGCTGCATATCCTCGGGGTAGGTGTTCCTTGGGGTGTGACATCGTTACACTTGTATTGTGAAGACTGTGTGGTGTGGCAGAGCCACAGCACAGCTGAGATGTGCTTAGTCTTTGTAACAGCTCTGTGAGGAGAACGGATCCTGAATGGTCCACTTTGTCCATGATGTTTGAAATATGTTAGATGACTTGCCCAGTGTCACACACCTAGTGGCCCCACAGAGTGGGGTTCTTTCCTGAGCCTCATTTTCTTTTGTAAAATAGGGACGCCACCATCTATTCCCAGCATATAAACATGACTGGATATGCATCCCAGGACATCAGACACCATATGGCATGCAAGCCCTCCATACATAACGTAAGGGCCATCATGATTCCCACAGCCACCACTGAACCGTGTCACTCCGATGTAACTGTAGGTGGAATCGTGGATGGACTTCTAAAACTTCTCTCCACAGACAGACAGATCCTGACGGCACATAGTAGAGTTCAAGTAGCAGTTCAAAAAACCCGAATTGGGGCTGGGGATTTAGCTCAGCGGCATAAGCACCTGCCTTGCAAGCAGGCGGTTGTGAGTTCGATCCCCGGTACCATTAAAAAAAAAAAAAAAAAAGTTAAAAAAAAAAATGGAAAAAACCCGAATTACAGATCTCCTGCCTGTGACAGGGTAGAAAAGCTCTAGCCCCACCCAGACTTTCACCCTGCCTGTTTTATAAAGTATTAATGGAGCACAGCCCCTCCCAGTCACGGCTGAGCCAGCCATGGAGGCCGTTGAGCTACCGCGGCAAGACAGAACAGTTTTATCAGAGACCACATGATGCACAAAGCCAAAGGTACTTTTTGAGTCCTTTATGGAACCGTTACTGGGCTCTGCTGAATAGTTTGGGAAAGCATCTGATCCAGGGTGAAGTTTCTACTTTCAATCAACTACAGCTCACTTCCCAGCCCCTTAGCACTGTCTATTAGTGCTTTAAAAGAGATAATTAACAAGTGGAATCTGGAATTCCTCACACAGAGAGCAAGAATCACAGAATAATGAATGCGTGAGTTTTTAATGAACAGGACAAATCACCAGTGAAGATCAGAGTTTAAAATGAGGGTTGCAGGCATATTTTAAACAGCAGGCCTGTCTATTTTTTCTGCAATGGAGTTATTATGTTTCCAGATTCTCTGACTTTACCCTCCTTCTCTTTCACGAAAGGAGAGTGAGTGTGATTCACTGGTCCCGCAGTCCTTTGGCTCTGGCTTCTGAAAGTCTGTGACAGAATTTTTCTTGTTGGTTATCAGTGATTTTACAGAGATAATTGCGAGCAGAGTTACCAAATATGGCGAGAGCACTGAATCCAGCCTACTTCCTGGCTTTATAAATAAAGTTTTATTAAAACAAAGCCACACCCATACAAGGAAGGGCTCCTCAGGTGAGCAAAGCAGTTGCAACTAAGACTGGCTCACAAAGCCCAGAGTCTTCTGCTCTGGCCTTGCAATGAGCAAGTTTCCCTCTTTAGCTGGCAGGAAGACCTCAGCACAGCAGGCATTTGTCTGCAGCCCCGAGAAGGTTTCCGTAGTTTGCTGGGGAGGTGGCGATGTTGTGGCTGTGAACTCAAGTCAGCCTTGGGAGACCTGCAGGTGGGCGGGGTCTCTCCCAGTCACCCACTCCCCTCCCCCTCATCCTCACTGTTTTGTTTTTGCTCCAGCCCAAAGGTTATTGAGTCAAATCCAGGGGCAGTCATGCATGGGCCCCAGTTGCTTGGCCACAGTTAGTGCATCTTCTACTTAATTTTTACTGCATCACCGTTCATCATTTGTGAAATTGGGGATCAGTGTTTCGGCTTGGGCTTCATTTTTACCAACAGGCCGTGCATGCCCTCATGCAGAGTAAAACCAACCTCTTTCCCGTCAACCCTAGTCTTTGCTCCACCTTCCAGCCTCGAATTCTCTGTTCTCCACCTCCCCACTCCCTTCCCCCTGCATCCATGATTCTGCTGTTCCTTGGAGGCATCGGACACTCTTGCCTCAGGGCCTTTGCACTTGCCCTCTTCAGATTGTATAGATTCATCATTTTCTGGTTTGTGTTTGCCCCTCACTAAGGTAAGGCACAAGAGACAGAGGTTTCTCCTGGTATCCTCACCACTGTTTCCCTGATGCCTACAATAGTGTGTGGCATGAAGAATGAACTCACTGAAGCTGGGCTGGAGGCTGGAGAGATGGACAGGGCAGGCAGAGATTTAGCTAGAAAGCCATTTTGAAAGTACCATCTGGGGCTGGGGACATAGCTCGGTGGCAAAACGCCTGCCTGGCAGGCACACGGTCCTGAGTTTGATTCCTGGTACAAAATAAAAAGTACCCATCTGCTTTTACTTTCCCATTAAACAGATAAGGAAACTGAGCCCTAGCGATGGATATCATATCGAAAGTCATGGACAAGTAAGTCCAAGGACCAGTGCACACACATCTCCCAGTGTGAGCAGCAGATGTGTTTCCACACGCACTGCCCCACTGGCCCTCAGGGACTGAGCAGCCCCTTGATTCAGCAGGGAGAGTGTGGGTGGGAGCAAGAGATATGCTCTCAGTGGGTTCAGCAGGATGCTGTTACTTGGGGCGTATTAAGTGGTGAATCTAGACATTCTCCTTCTTTGGCCTTTGGAGAGCAGACTCTGGTGCTAGAAAAGAGACATGCTTCTCTGAGAAAGGCCGAGGAAGATAAACTGTGTCTCCCGCTGTCCACTCTGGTCACTAGTGTGTGGGGAGGGACGGTTTCCTACGCCCCAGTAAGTTCTCCAGCGAACACCAAGTGGGTGCTCCGTAATTGAGTTCAGTTCAGACACCATCTCCATGGAGGCAGCGCTGGGCCCAGCAGGCTGAGGGCTCAGTCCCAAGGCTGCCTCCACAATGCCAGGCGGTCACACTGGTTAACAGGCTACACATTGGGGTTCCCACGTCCTCCTCCTCAGTCCTAGATGGCTCACAGAACTCCAGGGCACACGTGCTTACATCTTCCGTATGTTGCAAAGGATGTCACCCAGGGTGCAGAGACATGGCCAGGTGGAAGAGACAGAGTGGAGGGGTGGGGAGAAAGGTGGAGCCTCCATGCCCCTCTGGGGGTGCCACCCTCCTGGAAGCCCCATGGGTCAACTGTCTGGAAATCTTCTGAACCCAGCCCTTTGGGGTTTTTTAGAATCCCCATTACATAAGCAGGATTAAGGCATCCTTGGCCACTGGGGACCAGCTCAGCCTTCAGCCCCTCTTCCCTCCCCTGACAGAGAGACTGAAAGCCCCAACCCCACTAATGCTGCTTTGGCCTTTCAGTGACCAGGGCCCGCCCCCCACACCTCCCATCTCATCAGCATACAAAAGACTGTGATATCACCCCGGTCAGAGGACCGAGGGCTGCAGGAGCTATGTGCCAGGGACCCAGAACAGACACCAAAGTTACATTTCTCACTAGGTTTCAGTGCCAGGAGAGGAAGGCTCCTGAGCCCGTGTGGCCTCTGTTGTAATCCCCACTGCTGCTGAGCATGCTACTGCACCTTTCTGGGTCTCAGCTTCCCCAGCTGTCCATGCAGAGACAGTGAACAGATCTCTGTGGTGGAGGCTTTCTTGTCTCCTGGCGCCTGTCCAGGCACCCTGGCTTGGGCGAATTGCCCTCTCGGTGACAGGGCCCGTACTGACCCCATCTGTCTGGTTTCCTTTGCAGGCGCTCTACATGTTCTATGCCTTGGCCATAGTGTGCGATGACTTCTTCGTTCCATCGCTAGAGAAGATCTGTGAAGTAGGTGGAGGGGACTTGGGGACCCTTGGTGAGGCCCCAGAATGGTAAAGGACAGATGGCATGTAAACGAGAGGGCAAGAAAGTCAGGGCTGGGGTGGGGAGATTGGTGGTAGAGACCGTCACACTGAGCCCCTGTAGTTGGCCCTGAGATGGCCCTGAAGCTGCCTAATCAGCAGAGAGGGGTGGTGCCTTCTCCCAGGGCCTGGCAGAGGAAGCCACTGCCGATAGGAATTTGCTGTCCAGAATGCTGGCACCAGTGCACCCTGTGTGCCAGCCCTGGCCTGTGAGGGAGCCCAGGGAGTCCCGCACCTATGTAGGCACATTGTCCATAACCAGCAGGGGGCAGGCTGCAGGCCACAGGTGAGGCTGGGCATCCCATGGGGCGCACCTCTGGAGGATGCTGGGCCATAGCAATGAGTTTCCCTGCCCCAGCCTTTGCAAGCTGCCACATTCACCCTCTGCTTATTTTGGTTTTTTCTGTTTTTTTTTTTTTTTAAATTTTTGGTACCAAGGATCAAACTCATGACCTCATGCTTGCCAGGCAAGTGCTTATGCCACTGAGCTAAATCCCAGCTATTTTGTTATTTTTTTAACTTTTCCTTTTTTCTCCCCATGTGTAAGATCCCAGTCTGCCTCCTCCCTCTGCCTTAGTCTTGGCCGGAGAAGGAAAAGGCCCTTAGATGGCAGCACCTGCACCAGCAGGCACTTGGGGTCCTGTCACCCTCTTCCCGTGATGCCTCCTCGCTGCCTGGGATCATGCCAGTGTGTGATGCTTGAACAGGAAACACCGCTCCTTAGGGCCAGGTGCTTCCTCAGGATTTTACTCACTGCTGGTGCAGCCTGGTGGCTCAGCGTCACTGCAGTTGAGAGTTTTCACTTCGGAACTGGGTCCTCCTAAGGGTGACCTGTTAGGGTGACACACAGGCTCCCCATAGCTCCCCCCACCCTCAGAGGTAAACACTGGGTGCTAGTGCAAGGGACTATCCCAGGATGCCATAGTGTGGGCTGTGGTGTGCTGCCCCCAAGGGAACCTTCGGGGGGACATGCAGCCTGCTGATCCTTGCCAAATACACACCTTGGATTCCTGCTAGGCTGAGAGCCTTGGGAAGCCACAGCAACAGGGTCAGGCTGCTGCCCCTTTGGAATTAAGAGAAGCCTGTGGAAGGGGGGCTGACTGAGGCACAGGACTGTACAGAGGGAATGGCCAGGGACCCTCGCAGGTTATCTGCATCCCTGAGGACAGAGAGATGAGCAAGCATGGTGGTCTCAGCACCTCCCTCCCCATAAATAAAACCAAGGGGATTAATGAGACATCAGAGGACAGGAAGCCAAAGGAAGGGAGGAGGCACCAGTGTTGGGGAGAAGCCCTGGAAGGCTTCAAAGAGGAGATGGTATTAGGTCCAGACTTTAGAAGCAAGAGGGATTTCAGTAAGCAGGGAGGGAGAGAAGGGACTTACAGCCGGAAGGAATGGGCCAGGCAAAGGCCAGGAGGAAGGAGCAGTGTGCGTTCTTCTGAGAGCTGGTGGAGGTGCGTTGGTGGCAGAGGCTGTTCTGCGGGATGCTCCTCTTTGGCAGGGCTCAGGTGTTTGGGCATCTGTACTGGGGATCATTGCTGTGCCCACATCCTGTGTCAAACCCAGACCTCTGACTCAGGGCCCCTTCTTCAGCCTGCTGCTCAGGGAAGAGAGTGTGCTCCAGGCTTCTTTGGTGGCCCCAGCATCCAGGATTGCCCTGGGCCACTTGGGGAGGAGCCCTAAAAGCCTCCAGTCCATATTCTAGATCACAGCGCAGGCCTCATGGCCTCCATGTGGCCTCCCAGAGCACCTGGGCATAGACAAAGAGTCCCCAGCCTTGTCTTGTGCCAGTTCAATCCTGGGGACGGGAGCCCTGGGTCTCTGTGAGTAGCTGGGTGTGAAGCCTGCACCTGGGATGCAAAAACTAGGTGTGTGCCAGGACCCCAGGTCCCATAATACCAGTCTTTTCATATGGTGCCCTGGGGACCAGTGCCACACTGGTGGACTCTTGTTTAGCTAGGGACCAAAGATGACAAAGTCCCTGCCCTCATGGTCCAGCAGGAAAGCAAGTGTGTGCCTCGCATGCCCTCATCCTCTAATCTGTGTTTGAATAAGGGGCGATAAGGCTTGGGGGTTTAGCTCAGAAGCTCAAGCATCTGCCTGGTAAGCACAAGGTCCTGGTACCTAAATAAAATAACAAGAGAGGACAGTAAAAAAGGCCAGTCTCTAATGGGGAGCATCTGGCTCTGGGGGCTGCAGAAAAGGCTTCATCAAGGGAGAGTGAACAGCAGGTAGATGGCTTGGGTAGGGACAGGGGCTTCTGAGTTGAAGGCCCAGGGGTGGGTGGCTTGTGCTCAAGGTTAGGGAGGAGAGGCTGCCCCGCCCCTCCAACCTGGGTCCCACCACGACTTCCTGCATCCCAGCTGCCCAACTGTCCGGGTGTCCTGTCCACTGCCCCATGTCACACTCTCAGGCCTGGGGTCCCTTCTGTTTCAGAAACTTCACCTGAGTGAAGATGTGGCTGGAGCCACGTTCATGGCTGCCGGAAGCTCGACCCCTGAGCTGTTTGCCTCTGTCATTGGTAAGACGCAGGCTAGGGAGAGCCCAGGCTCGGTGCCCAGAACAAGGGGGGCTTTGGTTAGCTCAGAGCCTCGGGCTTCTTGCCTGTAAATCTGGACAGCCAGAGGGACGGACAGTAGATTGGTGGTTTCTCAGGGTGGAGGTGCTAATGGACGTGAGATTTCCTTTGAGGATGATAAGGGTGTTCTAAAATTAGATCCTGATTTTAGTGGCTCGATTCTGTGACTAAGCCCAGGGTTGTACCCTAAAACGGGTGAATTTCATGCCATGGGAATTGCATCTCTAGAACTGTACAAAAACCAGGAGCATCGGAGGAGCCGGTTCCTGAAGGTCCCCCAACCCAGCCAGTTTATGCTTCACATTCATGGTGCTGTGTTGATGCTAAGAAAGACCTGCTTCTCTCAGTGTGGGGAAACTGAGGCATGGATAGGACAGCCATGCAGCCAAGAGTCAATGATTCTCACCTCTGCCCACCTTTTTCTCTCTCGCTCTCTTTATGGCTGTACTGGGGTACAGTACCCAGAGCCCCTGCACCGAGTTACATCTCCAGCCCTTTTTTTTTTCTATTTTGAGACAATCTTGCTAAGTTTCTAAGTTGCCAGGGCTGGGCTATAACTTGCAATCCTCCTGCCTCAGCCTCCCAGAGTGCTATGATTACAGCTCTGTGCCACCACGCCATCTTCCTTTCTTTCCCTTTCTAGGTGTCTTCATCACCCATGGAGACGTCGGGGTGGGGACCATCGTGGGCTCTGCTGTGTTCAACATCCTGTGCATCATTGGAGTGTGTGGACTGTTCGCTGGCCAGGTCAGTGAATGACCTCGTGGCCTGGAGGGGCAGTGCTTATACTGTGTGCAACCAGCCTCTCTGGAAGGTGGGAGGGGACATCCAGCTGAGGTCAGGCCGGTCACTCCATGGCACTGGCTTCCCTCTATGAGCTGGTTTGCTCCTGTGAGAAGTGAAATTGATGTTTCTTCTCCTCCAAAGTCTGGAGGCCTGAGGGGCGTGAGCAGTATCAGTGACTCTGGCCAGTCCCCAAGCTTTCTGGTGGCGACTACACACAGGTGCCACCTGTAACCTTGTCCCCTAGCAATACCAGCCTTGGCCTCCTGCAGACATGAAGTTGGCTTGTTGGTGGTGCCTTGTTCTATAGCCTCAAGAGTTCAGGGAAGGTTAGACTTGACCGCAGGCAGACGCAGGCTTATGGTCAGGCCCTGCCTCGCCTAGTGGGTGGCCGATTGTTCCAAAAGGGACCAGTGGCACCTCTGATCTGCTCCTTATAGCTTCTGAGAAAACATGCTTGGTCATCACCTTGGAGGACCAGGGCAGTTTTACTACTGCTTGAGAACATTATTTGGTTCCATCCTGTTCCACAAAGTATAACAGTGCCCGGGTAGCCTGGGAGGGCCCCGCAGGGCTTGTCCTTCGGGTAGTTACTGCACATGTCCAGCCCAGCCAGTAGCAGCTGCTGCCCTGCTCCGCAGGTGGTCCGTCTGACGTGGTGGGCTGTGTGCCGAGACTCCGTGTACTACACGCTCTCTGTCATCGTGCTCATCGCGGTGAGTTACCCCTCTAGCCCCAGGTATCGGGTTGCCCAGCACCCTGCAAAGGCACCAGACTCTTGCCTGTCTCTGTCCCTAACACCGTAACTGGCACTCAGCTGTGGAGTGTGCTGGCTCTGCCTTGTGGTCTCAGTCGCAAGACCCCATATCCTGCTCTACCTCCACTGTGCCTCCCGTGCCCAAAAACTCATACCTGACATCTTGGTTATCAAACAAATCCAGGAGCCAGCATCATGACACAAAGGCCCTGGAAAGGACAAAGCACGTGCACATGGTCCTTGTGGTGACCTCAAGGACTGTGCTCCTCTGAGTCCCTTTTGATCCCCTTGTAGGCCATTTGCTCTTCTGCCAGACCTCAATCTCAGAAGAGCTCTCTGGGTTCACTGCCACCAAGGGGCAAGACTGGGAAGACAGCTCGGAGTCAGCAAGAGGGCAGCTGGGAGCCAGGCAGGAGCCAGAAAGGGAGAAAAGGCTGAGGAACCCAAATGAGGATCCCTGGGGTCCCTTAGTGTGTGTGTGTGTGGGGGGGTGACATCATAGCACACGACAGTGAAACACACTGCCAAGGAATGTGTCATCCCCAGGGGACCATTTTTGAGCCAAAAGAGCTTTAAAGTGGTGACGGGAAGGCATATGTAGACTTTAGGGTAAGGAATATAACAGTTCTCAACCTCATCAGATATGCGGCCAATTTATATGACACTTAAGCCATGTATTGGTTAGCTAGTGCTGTGTAGTGAATTCCCCCTCCCCCCAAACTTAGCAGTTTAAGACCAGCAGTACTGGGGCAAAAATCTGGGAGTGCCTCAGCAGGGTCCTCCCGGCCAAGATCCCTCACATGGTGCAGTCAAGGCATCTACCCAGAGAGAAGTATCTCAGGGCCCAACGTGGCTGTTGGCTGGCCTCAGGCCATGCCAATCTCACAAGTGAGCCCTCCATCACTTCTCCCCATTCTCTTTGTTAGAGGAAGTCACTGGGTCCAGCCCACATTCAAGGAGGCATGCATATCAGGCAGTGGGGTCAATGAACCATTTTAGGGTTCCTACCACACCCCAAAAATTAAAGTGATAGGCAAAATAGTCTACCAAAAGACAACTTCAAAAATATATATATATGTACCCTCATTGTTTCATAAGGAAGAGTAAACTTAACTTATAGTAAACTAACCCATCTTTCAGTATATAAATGTTTCAGCATGAAGGTGATAGAAGATCCCATGAAGTAACTGTTGCCCCGTACAGTCTCCGAGCCCTTCACCCACAAATGCAGACTGACATCTGCTGAGTCAGCTGACGTCGTGATGTGTTCCCAAAATAATGAATGACCCCTGCTAAAATCCCGAACGGATCAAAGTGCGTTCATCCTTTGCTTTACACGACACTAGCCTTGCGAGCAAAATTCAGTGTTTTCTAAAACTTGATAAAAAGATAATTTGATTTGTAAATTGGAGTCACATTCAAGGTTTAAGTCATTGTCTTTCTGCTGGCTGAATATTTCTCAGGACGTTTAAGACGCGTACCAAATACAGAGAAAATTCATGCAGGAGAATTGTCTCACAGGCCTCACATTGTTTCACACCTCTGTTCTTCAGTCCCTCTAAATGGCATTGGTGCTCCTATGGGTAAAGAGCTAAAACCATCCCTGTAAATGTCCCCAGCCTCCGCCGACACAGTCCAGTCCTTGGTTCTGTTGCGTGTGCCTTCCTCAGAGCCTTGAGTTCTGACTGGGAACTTTCTCAGAAATGCCTGACTTGGTGATTTTCTCAGAAATGACTTCCTGAACCAGCTCCTGTGTGTGCCACCCACTGTGACAATCATGAGAAAGACACAAGGCCAGAAAATGTTCCCTGCCTACCCTGGCATCGTACATTGAGACCCTTGTGTGTCCAAGATCAGATTGATGGGAATAGGCTCCTCCCTACCTTCCTGTCCACAGTGAGTGATGCTGGGGTGGTCGCAGGAGTGCCCCCCACCCACCCAGCTGAAGAAAACATTTATCTGTGCCTTCTGCCGGAGATACTGGGTAGGAGTTGTTGAATGTGTTAATCAGTAGGTTCTCCAGAGAAACAAAACCAGTAAGCAACTAATGGATGGATGGATGGATGGATGGATGGATGGATGGATGGATGGACAGTGAGAGGTTTGTTTGGTACTGGCTCTGGTGATTTTTAAGGTGAGAAGTTCCATGATGCCCTCTGCATGCTAGAGACCTGGGAAGATATGTAGCATGGCCTAGGCCAATGGTGTGAGAACACAGAGGTCTACAGGTACCAGTCCTGGAGTCCAAAGCCCAAGGCCTCTGTAATTCTGAAGTCCAAAGGCAAGAGCAGGAAGGTTCTCCGGCTCCTCGAGAGAGAGAGACAGAGACAGAGGAGACAGAGGGAAAAATCCCAAGTACAGACTCACTTTTCTTCTTCCTGTTGATCTCTCCAGTCCCTCAGCTGATTAGATGGTTGGGGGGAGGTCTTCCTTACTCAGTGCAATCCAAATGCCAGTCTCTTCCAGGATCAGCCTCACAGACATGTCCAGGAATGATACCTACCCACCATTTGGGTGCCCCTCGGGCTAGGCAAGTTGACACCTAAGATTTAATTTTCACAATGAGCACTGACTGCCACTGTCCCCACTGTCACTCCCCTCCAGTAATACAAGCTGGATCTTCCCCTTTGGAATTCCCAAAGGCGTTACCCCACATACACACACTCCTTATGTATAGATACCTTGCTCTTTGAGATTCTTTGGTTTTAGCAGCTCTGTCCCCATAAGGAGCGGAGGCTTCTCTCTGATTAGCACCCAGAAGCAGGGTGGGCTGTAACAAAGCCCAGGCCACTTCTCTTAGGAAGACCCCACTAGGCCAGGGCCACAGTTGCAGCCCACGGCTGGCCTGGTTGCCTGTGGAGGACGGTCACTGAGAAACGGAACAGGATGCTGCTTCCTGCAAAGTGAGGCAGGAGGCTGCTGTGAGCTGGCTGGGTGCTTAGGGGTCTGCATTGTCTTTTATTTGGAATAAATGAGTCTGCTGTTGTTTCTTTTGTCTTCCAGTTTATCTATGATGAAGAAATTGTGTGGTAAGTTTTTAAAGTGTACTTTGCATTGCTTTTGGAGGGGCAGATGTGGGGGAGGGGATTAGTTCCCAGTATCCTCCTTTGTTGAGTTTGCAGAATCATTTGTAGAATCATTTTTATAAACCTAAGCTTGTAACTTAGGAAAGGATGGTCATCCTAAAAAATCTTGGCTTTATCCTTTGAAAATGAGAAAAATCATTTCCCTCTACATTCCTACCCTGCCAAATGCCAAGATTTATCACAGAGCTAAAATGATCACAACACCACAACTGTGGGATTTTGCACAAGGAGGATCCAGTAACACACCTATTTCAGGGACAAAGCTGTGACAGAGGTCAGGACAAGGCAGTGAGTGGACGGGGGGAGTCGTAGGCAGAGAGACCAAACAGCACCGCACCAGACTCCCCTCATGCCTTGTGGGAGAATCAATTGTGGTGAAGTAAAGGGCTATCAAAACCAAAATTGTATTTACTTATTTACTTATTTATTTATTATTAAGCCCAAAGTCTTTTCCCTAAGCTACATCTGCAGTCTTTTTATTGTGAGACAGGGTCTTACTAAGTTGCCCAGGCTGGCCTCAAAGGTATGATCCTTCTGCCTCAGCCTCCCAGAGTGCTGGGATTACAGGCATGTGCCACCACACCTGGTTTCAAAAACCAAATTTTAGGGGCTGGGGATTTAGCTCAGTGGCATAAGCACCTGCCTTGCAAGCAGGCAGTCGTGAGTCCGATCCCCGATACCGATAAAAAGGAAAAAGACAAAACAAAACAAATTTTAGAAGAAAATACACAGACTTACTGGCCATTCCTTTAAAATTATGATACACATGGCTTAACTATGGTTGCTCTGTAATTATTTTACTATAAAATTTTATTTTTCATAGAAGAATGCTTTTGAATATTTTATTGATATTTACTTGAATTACATTAAAATTTTAAAGAGAAAACACAAGAACTCATTTTATGACATCCAAGTGGGAAGTAATTCTGTAAGATACGTAAAGCACAAGCTTCTGAGGACCAGGCTGGTACTGAGCTCCATTCCCAAGCACGTGAATGCATCTTACATCCATATGCATACATTCTGCCTGCTCGTTACCATGATCCAGAGCCTGTAGGTGACCGCTGGTGGGAATTCTCAGTTATGTGCTGTGCACCCAGAGAAACCTGGTTCTGGCCTCATTCTGGCCCCTAACCGACTGTGTGACCAGATAAAGCCTCTCCACCTCGGTTTCAGTTTCCTTAGGTGCAGATAGAGTTGGGTGGTGGCTAGGTGGTCAGCAGGCTCCATGCAAATGAAAGAAGCACTTCCCAAATGATGTTGCCCACGCTGGGCACATCAGGGCTTCCGTATGCATCAGTCAGATGAACAAGGTAGCTCAGGGGCTCAGACACCCTCATCCACGGGGACATTCACAAGAGCAACAGTGCTTTCAGGAAAAGGCCCTGTCACCACCATACTGCACTGAGAACAGCCCAGGAGGCGCCTGTGCCCTGCCCCCCCCGTCCCTGGGAACTTGAGTCCCTTCTGCTGAATGCACAACCTGTCTGGTCCCTGGCCAGAATCTCGAGTGACTGTTGGTTTCCTAAGAGTTCAGTCCCCAACCCCCAGGGCATGGCAGCCCTGGTCCTGCCTTTTCCTAGGTCTCTGGGATGTGGGGGCTTCACCTGGGTCCTGTGTACCCCAGTAGTTGAGAAGGTGGCCCATTACCCTTCTCTCTCTCAGTCACCATGAAGAATCTCACTGGAGAGGCAGCCTCAGGCTGGGGCATCATGCTCATTGACCTGGTCCAGCACTGGGCAGTACAGCCAGGGCAGGGGAGGACATCCAGCCTGCCACCCACCCTGCACCGGTTGGTCCCAAACCATTCTCCCTTGTGTCTTCCAGGTGGGAAGGCCTGGTGCTCATCATCTTGTACGTGTTTTACATTCTGATCATGAAGTAAGTGCCCTCTCCCCTCCAGCCCGGTCCTGCTCCCATCATTGCATAGAGCAGGGGAAGTTCTGTCGGATTCCAAGTCACTTTGGAGCAGCCCCTGTTGTCTGATGCCCTGCTGGGGGCAGCCAGCATGGGGGACAGTTGATCAGACACTCTTCTGGAGGTGCTGTCTACAATCAGATAGGGGAGTCGTGTTAAGTGGCCAATGTGTGCAAAATGATAGCATTCCCTGGATGAGTCACCATCAAGGACCTCTGTCCCACCCCGCTGTGGGCAGCTTCCCCATCTGACAGAATAACCAGTCTTTTTCTGCTGGCTTAGTAAATGTCCTGATCATTCAGTGCCACTCTTCCAAACACCAAGCAGCTTAACTCCTCGGGGCTGCTGCTTTGCCCCGCTGCAGAGGCTCCCACTCATAATCCTGGGGATCATGGACACTGTGTTCTGGGTTGAACCCAAATCATCTCAAAACCCCAAGGAACCTTAGCTAGAGAGAAGAATGCGATTCTGACACATTCCTTCACGTATGGATTGTGTGCGTGGATGAGCGGATGAACCTTGAGGACACCCAGGACAAAGACTACAGGAGCCCATGTACATGTGGTGTCTAGAAGAGTCAAGTTTATAGAATCACACATAGATTAGAGGTCAGAGCAGGCTGGAGGATGGGGGTAAGTGATCAGTGGATGTAGAGTTGCCATTGGGGTGATAAAAATGTCTGGGAAATACTAGTGATGGTTTACAATAGTGTGAGTGTAATTAATCCTGCTTAAGCGTGCACTTACACACGGGTAGTAGTTATACGGGCAATTTTGTTATATATTTTTTCCACCAAACGCCCACAAAACTATTCATGGCCAAATCACATTCTGCCTCCCTTCTCCCTGACAGGTGGGTAATTAAAGGAGGATGATGGCAGTCTGGGGGTTATGAGAATCCTCACAGTTAGATGCTTTCATGAAACTAAAATGGGTGACAAACTGTCACACTGCAAGAGAATTGTCCTCAGTGGTTCCCTCTCTGAATTCCCATCAGTTAGAAGCCTCTTGGGGCATGGTGGTGGTGGCTGTGAATGATGCAGGAGGGCCACCAAGGAGCCCATGTGGACCAGAGTTGCTGCTGGGGACAAGGAGCACAGGCCAGCGATGCCTCCTTTGAGCCTGTCCCTTAAGCTGAGCTGAACTCCTTTTATTAGAACAGACTTGTAAAATACCGTAAGCAGGATTCAGTCATTTCTTGGGCAGAAGGTCTCTGCTCCTCCAGGAAGCCTCATAGCTCAATAGGAGCAGGTGTCCCCAGCCTGTGCATTGTTGTGGGGGTCCTGTTGGGAGACCCCCGTGGTCTCGGTCAAGACCTCCCTGCTTGCCCAGAACCACATGGACTGCACAGAATGGGGTGGAGCACAAGATCCAGTAGATAAATGCCACCCACCTGGTTGGCAGGGACCCTCCTCTGCCCTGACCCCCTGCCTCCCCTGACTTGCAGGTACAATGTGAAGATGCAAGCCTTTTTCACCACCAAACAAAAGAGCATTGCCAATGGCAACCCCGCCAACAGCGAGCTGGAAGATGGTAATGACTTCTATGACAGTAGCTATGATGACCCTTCCGTGCCATTGCTGAGGCAAGGTAAGGCTGAGCAGACAGGAGTGGAGACACTTGTCATGGAAGCCACTTCCTTCCCCCCATGCACACACACACACACGCACGCACGCACACACATACACACACTCCTACAGTGCCGTGCTCTTACCTTTGGTCACACTCATCCCGAATAAGGAAGGAGAATCACAGTTTTGAGGTGTGTGCAGAGCGGTGTTTGTTAGCTGTAAGAAGGCTGGAGCGGGCATGCACCAGGAAAGAGAGTCAGCAGTGCCATCTGTGGGAATTTGCCCGGGGCTAAGAGGCCTTGCCTTTTCTAACGATATTGCCATGGAAACTTCTGGTTGGAGCCAGCATTAGAGTTCTGTCCTCAGCCTCAGCCTCCAGGCAGGTGGCTCTCCAGCCACCACACCAGAAGGAGAGAAAGGACTGCCAGCTGGTGGATTTTTACAGAAACCACTCTTGAGCTGGAGATATAGCTCACAGTAGAGCGTTTGCCTAGTATTCATAAGGCCCTGGGTTCAATCCTAGCACCACAAAATATATATATATATTTTTTTAACACAAGGAACTTATCACTTTGAGTGGTTTCCACATAAAATTTAAAAATAAAAAATTCAATGTCTTGGGAGGAGAAGGGGGAACAAAGCCCTGTCCTTACCTCTCTTGTAAATGCCATTTTGTACTGAAGTGTTCTTAGGATCGTGGAACTCAGCTTACTAGATCACGGTGCTGGCTGGTTTCCAGGTGGCCTTTCTCAGAGCCTGAGTCACCTCATGTCCCACATGTCCCAAGCTGGCCTAGCTCAGAGACCTCACTAGAGGACATGCAGCCCGCCCCAGGCATGACTTGAACAGGAAGGTGAAGAAAACACTCAACCTTGGGCTGAGGTACTAGGAAAACATGCCATTGTTGTGTGACCCTCGTGGCAGCTGTCCTTGGCTTGGACACACCACCTTGTGGTGTCACATGACGGGCGGCACCATCATGGGATGGTGGGATGTCCCAGGAGCAGGTGCCATGGCTCCTGCCTCGCAAGACTCCATCCTTCTGAGCCCATTGGTTCCCAAGCAGCCCCCGTGACAGGGCCGGTTCCACAGAACAGATCCTGGAGCCAGCAGTATTGGTGTCCTCGCCCTCTGAGATGGAGGCCCCAAGCACCCAGGCTCCCTGGGGAAGAAGCCCCCTACTAACACCCTCCTTCAATAACCCCCTGGCGTCTTCGCCACCATCAAGAATGCTGCCCCAGGCTCCACCGCACGCTAATCATCTCTGGCAATCTCTGTCGGCCTCTGTCTCCTTAACTCTCCTCTTCTAAATTGTAAGTAATCTGCTCTCATCCAAGCAATAACACTTGCATTTAAACAATAAATAAACCCACCATGAGCCAGCCCAACAGCGCACGCCTTGTTGGAGGTTAGTGTCCACCTCCACAAATGCATGGGCCTCCTGGCTGGGGCTTCTAACACACACGCCTCCTGTCTGCTGAGCCTTGCTGTTTGGTGGGGGGTGTGCATGTGTGTGCACACGCGTGTGTGTGTGGTGTGCGGTTTACGCATCTTTGTGCCATTAACTCTTGCATGGGTTTGCTCTCTGGACTGTCCCTGGCTACCCTACTACATGGGATCTGGTAAGCAGTGCAGAGGGACAGCCGTGTCTTTCTTCACAGCCCTGTAGAGGGGACATCACTGCCTGCTTCTGTGTGCTGTGTTCATGAGCAATGGTTCAGGGGATCTGGAGGCCAGTGTCAGATCTCCAGGGACACCAGCACTCAGCATGTTTGTGGAGATGGCAAAGAAGGAGGCAGGGCTGAGAGCTTTGTTCTGCTTTGTGAGGAGAAGGAAAGGGTCAGAGAGAACGCAGCTCGCCCTGGAGTGTGAGGTTTATCAAACACAGGGGCTCAGCTCACCGCTCACCCTGCACCCTGGGATTAGCAGGCTCCTCTCCTGGGACTCTGTTGCCCAGTGCAAGGCCTGGGATCCAAATCCTTGACCTCATGGCTGGCATTAAGAAAGCAAGGTTAGAAGCAGTGTTTAGAGGGTGCCCCCAGCCCGTAGCACACGGCTTGCCGGGAGTTTAGACCCAGTGCTGTCCGCTGCTTTCCAGCATTTTGTGCTCCTGGGGACCCTTGTTGATTTGTAAAGTTTCATCTGAGCCCCTGGAAAGAAAGGTTCCACCACAGGAGTGAAAGGTGCTGTCTGATGACAGGTACGCTGCTCTGTGAGGCTTGGGTGAGGAGCAGAAGGACCCTGGCCATCAGCAGGGCTGGCCCAGAGAAGAGAGAGATGGCACCCACTGATGGAGAGGTCGAACGTCATGGGGGCTCCAGTAACTGGTTCTGTGGCAGGAGATGCAGATGTGCTGGGCTCTGTCTGACACGTGGTGCTGCTGTAGGGGCTGCAGAACCAGGGATCCACTTTGGAAAGGGGAAGAGCTGCCAGGCCTCCAGACCTTCAGGTGGCCACCAGCTATGGGTTCCCAACCCTAGATGTTCACAAGACGAGGGGAAGCCAGTGGCCCCAGCTCTCAGGTGCTATCCTCAGAGAGATCAGTACTAATCGTAGCATTGTGCTCCATAGTGAAGGAGAAGCCGCAATACGGCAAAAACCCCGTGGTGATGGTGGATGAGATCATGAGCTCCAGCCCTCCCAAGTTCAGCTTCCCGGAAGCCGGCTTACGCATCATGATCACCAATAAATTTGGGCCCAGGACTCGACTACGGATGGCCAGCAGGATCATAATTAACGAGGTGAGTCCTCAGCAAAGGAAGAGCAAATGGCCAGGATAGTCCTGGCTTGTCAGGACTCTTCCTCTCATCATTCTCCCTGCACCCACTTCAGACATTTTCACCCAGGAAGTAAACAGAAGTCATTTCCCAGCACAAACGCCTAGATGCATGGCTTCTTTGGTCATGCAAACTAAAGCCACGATCCCGATACTGCCCCATGCTCACCAAACTGGCTCACATTAAAAGGCCCAACCGTAGCAAATGCCAAGGAGGATGAGAAACCACCACCGAGGGCTGGCTCTAGACACCTGTAAGAAAGAGAGGTGCGTGAGGAGCAGGGTGACTGTGGGACGCTGTCTCAGCGGCCTTGGTGTCCGCCTTGCCCCTGTCCCTGCAGCGGCAGAGACTGATCAACTCGGCGAACAGTGTGAGCAGCAAGCCGCTTCAGAACGGGAGGCACGAGAGCATGGAGAACGGGAATGTTCCCGGGGAGAACCCTGAGGACCCCCAGCAGGACCAAGAGCAGCAGCCGCCACCGCAGCCACCACCCCCTGAGCCAGAGGCGGTGGAGACCGTCTTCCTGTCCCCCTTCTCCGTGCCAGGTAAGTTCGTGGGGCTGCTGGGGACCCAGGCGTCAGTAACCCTCCCTCCTCACTTGCAGTTGGACCTGTGGGCCCAGTGTCATTGGCTCCTTGTGGACCTCATCTTTTCTTCTCCCTCTTAATGTGCTCTATTGAAGTCACACCAGCCCCCGTGCTGCCTTGCTAGATATCAGCAGTACTCCTGCTCAGGGCCTTTGCACTGCCCTTCTCTGGAATGCACTTCCCCCATTATGCATGTGGCTTCACCTTCATGCTCTTCTTAAATGTCACTGTGGTGTTCCTGGATGCCATTATGTAAAGCACTTTATATTCTCCTTTCATGTCCTCCCCCACTAACGGCAGCTGTACAGAGGCAGGCATCCCCGTCCCCCGTGCCTGCATACAGCAGGTGCTTGGCGGATATCAGTGAGTGAATGAGCTCAGGACTTCCCAGTGGAGAAGATCCGGAACCCAAGGGGTCCTCCGCAGTCCTAGACAGGAAACAGAGATCTTCTCCGGATCCCCTGTTGAAAGGGTCCCACTCTCAGGGGTTCTTTCCCGGTGTCCACATACCAAAAGGCAACAGAATTCCAAAACTTTCAAATCCCAAATGTGATTTGGGATTCAGAAAAGAAGCCAGTGTTCAGCATCAAGGTCTTGAGGGATGCGGCTGCTCTGCCCCTCACCCTGGCCTTGTGGGGGAGCTCCTGGCTCTACGTGGACAGCGTGGGCCACCAGGCTGGGTCCTGCTGCTGTCCTTTGGGGTTACTGGCTTCTCTGGAGCTGTCAGGGACACTGAGAGTGGAGGGGTCATCTTCTTCTCCAGACGCTGGTTCCCCAGGTGTTGAGTGGGCCGTTTGGACACATGGATGAGGGAGGAGCTCCACAGGGCAGGGTCCTGGCTGGGCAGCACGTCCCCCAGGAGAGCCACTCCTGAAGACATTGGACTGAGACATCCCAAGTAGTCACAGGTCTGGCCCCAGGCTGTGGGTTCCACCAGTGCCCCTCACAGCCTGAGTGGTCCTGACATCAGCCCAGTTCCTCCCCTGTGTCCGAATGGGGCTGAGTAAAGGGACTTGGGACCTAACAGAGGTCACCAAAGGAGTGTCAGTTCCTTGGGACAAGGAGAACAATGCTAGCAGGGCCACCTCAGAAACAACTGAGGCAGTCAGTGGGTGAAGAGTACCCTGTGGGGATTTGTGTGTGTGTTCTCCAGCTCTGCATCCCATTGTGCAGACATGGGGCCCAATGGAACACGGCCACCACCCACCACAGTCACCCTGGTCCCACGCTGTCATGGCCAGGAATCTGCAAGAAAACCAGAGAAGGGGTCAGCTCCTGCTCTGCACAGTGAACAGGTAGAAGGATGCCTTTCAGTTTCCTTCCAGCCTGGAGTGTGGCACCAGTGGATAAAGAGACGCCCCAGACCAGCCCCCGATCCCCACGTCCTTGTCCCAGGATCTGGTGCTTCTCAGGAACAGGCTGTAGGTCTATGGGCTACAGAATGCAACTGTCTTGCGAGGGTGGGGACCTGATGGCCCTGGTCCTCCTGCTCCCAGGCTCTCTGCTCCAGGGACTCCTCCTCTGAGGCCGCCCTTCCTGCAGTGGGCCTCTTCCTCCCCAGCGCCAAGCCTCTGGGGTGGTCCCCTGGGCCCTGTCCTAATCGAGCCAAGTGCAGTGAGCTTCCTTCCTGCCCTCGGGAACAGGCCTGGGTTCCTGTGTCACAGGGACAGCTCCCTTTGTCCTGCTGATGTGTTTCTAGGGTTGCCCTTGGAAACCACAACTCACTTCCTCCTCTTCCCTAGTCCTGTGGGCAGAGCAGGAGGTGAGAACAGAGTTGGGCGGCTGCTGTTTCAGGGTGTACAGCAGCCAGGAGAAATTGGAGCAGCCTAGGCAGTGGTTTACAGGAAGTTAGAGCGAGCCAGTGAGCCCTCGTGCCCAGAGAAAAGTCCCCACACCCAGCCGGGCCCTCCCCTACCTGCTTTTTTGGGCTCATTTCTGGTTATGGATTCACGATGGCGGAGGGATGCAGGGTGGCTCTGAGCGTGCTCCATCATCTGATGGAATCTTGGGCCCACCAGGGTTTCCAGAAGTTGGGAATGAAGCTTCCCAGGAAAAAGGAGCTTTGTCCCCCATGAAATCATGGACTGTACCCCCAGCTCTGCCTCTGGGCTCAGTTTGGGAAAGCCCCTGACACAAGCTGCTGTTTGTGGGTGTCTGACGGTCCAGGATGTCCTGTGAGTCCGTGGAGGCCTCACCTTGACCCTTCCATGTGATGTTTCTCTCCTGCTCCTTAGGGAAAGGAAATCACACTGGGCTCACCAGGATGCTGACCTTCCTGCCTGCTATTGTTACAGCAGCCAGTATCAACCAGGGACCTGCCGAGTCCCAGGACAGGACAAAACAGACTGTTCTTACAGAGCTCTGTGTCAGCCAGTTGAGATTGTGATTACAGAATAGTCTAGGCAGGTGGGTTAGCGATGGAATTTATTTTCTCATACCTCTGGAGGCTGAACGTCTGAGATTAGGTGCCTGCGTGGTCAGGTTCTGCTGAGGGCCTCTTCCTGGCTTCCTCCTGCGGCTTTTCTTCAGGGTACACCCCTGGAGACAGAGCTAGCGAGATCTCTCCCACTTCTCTCCGTATAAGGATTAGGACCCCACTCCTATGACCCCACTGAACCTTAACTCCTTCTTGAAAGGCCCATCTCCAAAGATGGTCACTTGAGGGATTAGGGCTTAGCATACCCTAGGGAAGCAGTCACAGTTCAGGAGCTTTGAGGGTTGCTGGTTGTTTTCCCCTGTTTGAAGAATTACACGTGTGTTCACTCCCTGAAGTCTCAGAATAACATGAGGTGAGATAATGATTATGTTCATTTTACAGAAGAAAAAAGAAAGCACAGAGCTGTTGGGTGGCTTTCCCCTGGTCACCCAGTAACTGGAAAGAAATTTCCACCGGAGCGGCCCGTGCTAGTCCGTGCCCTGCCTCTGCATGCTTTGCACCTCCGTTTAATCCTCACAGTCAGCTTGTGAGGGAGTACAGCCATCATCCTCACTTCACAGAAGGGAAACTGAGGCTCAGAGAGGCTGTGGGACTTCCCAGCTCACACAGCCAGCACATGGGAAGCCAGTCTTCACCCTGTACTTGCTGGACTATGGCTTTCTGGACTGGCTGGTCCAGCAGGGAGCAGAGTCCCAGACTATGGGCCCCAGGGCTGTCACATAGTGGGCTTGAGGCTTTGGAGAAGTCCCCTCCCCTGTGACGCAGTTCAGTTGGCCTCATTGGAGAAGTTGAAGTCCAGCCCTGGGAGCTCTTGGGACAAGAGCAGGACCTAAAACTAACCAAAAGCTCACTCTGGGCTGGGTGGGGTGACTTACGTGTGGTGCCCTATTCAGTCCTTATGACGACCTTGGGAGGTAGGGACCAGTGTTTTTCCCGCCTCACACCCAGGGTTGTCCCATGTCATAAAGGGGGAGGGGGCACGCTTGGATTTGCACACTGGTATTCTGACCTCAGAGTTGCGTGGGGGACAACATCGTTACCCATCACGTGCATTCCTTTGGTCCTCCGTCCATCAGAGCTGTGAGGAAGTTGATTGCCTCTGTCCAGGATGCCAGTGTCTCCCGGCTTGCACACAGGTACCCATCTGTGATGACTCCGATGTGATGTGTTGAGTTGGGCTGACGGTCCACAGGCTGTCTTGAGGACTTGGACAGGACCGCTCACCCTTCTCTTCCTGTATTATTATAAAACCCGGAACTCAAGTCAGGAGATGTCCTTCTCCCCCTTCAGTCCTCGGTCCTCCAAGGCTTCTGAGAGCCTTGCTGGTGGGGAGGAGCTTGCTTCCTCCAAACCCAGTAACTGGGTACTGCAAAAATGGAACTTTGCACAGCTCCGTGTACCGTTCTTTCCTCTCAGCTGGAAAAACCATAGAGAAACTGCACGTGCTGTGGCCCACTGACCCGTGGGGTTCCAAGCCTGGCTCTGTCTGGCCCCAGCCCCAGAGTCACACAGCACTTCGGGTAAAAACGACCTTGTTTTTGCCTCAGTGGTGGCAGCTGCCTCTGATCGCACAGTTCACCCTCTGCATTGTAAGCTGAGGTCGGTGTTTCAAAGATGTGCCCTTGCGGGTTACTCTGTACCACTGAGGTGTCAGTGCACAGACCGTACGAACAACCGCTGGCTGAGCGTTTTTATTGCTTGATATAACAGCTTTATTGGGATGTAATTCACTTCTAGTACCATTAATACCTTTAACCATTCATACCTTTCTGTGCTGGTGTGTGGCCTAACATGCAAGAGGTCCTGGCTCCATCCCGAGTACTCTAAAACAGAGAAGCTGTAAAGTCCACAATTCCGTGGCTTTTCATGTATTCACAGGTTCTGCAGCCATCACCACAAACGATTTTAGGATGTTTTTATTCCCTTCAAAACTCCCATAGCCATTAGCAGTTCCTCCCTTTTCCTTCCCTGCCCCTTCCTAGGCCCTGGTAACTACTAAGCTGCTTCCTGTCTCTTGGAATTTATCCATTCTGAATATTTCGTATAAATGAAATCATGCAGAATATGTCCCTTTGCGGCTGCTGATTTCATTTAGTATGATGGTTTCAGTGTTGCAGTAGGTACTGATACTTTTTTAAAGTATCCCATTAGATAAATAATGCTACATTTGATTCATTTTTCGGTTGATTGGAAATTTGGGTTGTTTCCACTTTTTAGCTTTTGAAAGAGCTAATGGGGCATTGTGTAGAGGGAGACTCAGAATTTTTTATCTCAACGAAAGCAAGATTTCACCAAGTTCTCTGGCGCTAGCAGTCTCTGAATACCAGAGTTAAAAGGAATCTTGGGAATTTTTAAGCTAAGCCTCCTTATAGGCTGGAGTGGGAAACTGAAATGGGAGGAGAGAAGCCCAGGAGCTTGCCAAAGTGCATTCCCAAGCAGACAGACAGAGCCAGGCCATCTGTCCTGGAAACTGCTCCATGAGGCCCCTCCGCCAGGCCAGGGCAGCACCTGCTGGGCTCAT